GGGGGGGGCACGAAGAGAGAGAGAGACGACAACAGACAGACGTAGATGAAATGAGGGCCAGAGAGCGATACGAGAGAAATACGAAAATTTCAGAGAAAAGGGGGAGATGGAAAGGAGCGGAAGGAAGAGCGGACGGGACCGGCCCACGGCTAATGAAACCTCCCGACTCGCTCAGGTGACAAAAAGAAGGTGCTCCATTCCACTCTGGACCGAGACACCTTTAATTGTCTCCTGATACTATGCTGGCCTCCGGCTCAAGGGTTGGGTGGGGGGGGGCGTTACTGTATATGCGAGAGGGAGAGGCCAGGAGAGAGAGAGAGCAGAGAGGGGGGGAGGGGCAGGGAGGGAGGAGAGAGGGAGGGATAGGAAGAGAAAGGAAGAGAAGAGGAAAGAGAGAAATGGGACAGAGAGATGAGAGAGAAGGGACAAGGAGAGCAGAAGAGAAAGGGACAGAGAGCAGAGAGAGAGAGAGGATGTAACTTTTTACTATTCTCGGTTTAACTCCATGTTGTCAGCAATGGGTCTTCTATTCTGCTGGCTTTTATCTTCTTAAGCAGGAGGGATATATATAATATAATATAAGTATATATATATATATGTATTAATATATAATAATCATATATGATATGATATAAACCGTAATATCATATAATATATATATATATATATTTTTTTTTTTTTTTTTTTTTTTTTTTTTTTTTTTTTTTTTTTTTTATTTTTTCTTTTTCTTGGGGGGGTTTAGCAAGGAGTAATAACGAAATATTATGCACAGAATTTTCTGCAACTATTGTCAGCCCGCAGGGCGGTGGTCTGCGCCGCTCAAGGGGCCAGATCTGATTTGGCCGGAGGACCCGGATGCTTGTTCGCCGATTCAAGTGCAGGGAAAACGTTTGGGCGACGTTAAATTCATCCATTATTCAGTACCATGCGACTACTATGTACCGGTATTACCGCGAATGGCAAACAACGCTTACTGCTGCGCAGCCACAGCACACGCACGTCACTATACTATATATTCCTCTTTCTTTCCTCATCCTCCTCTCCCTTCCTCATCTCTCCATCATCGCCAGTCATCTCTCTCGCTCTCCTCTCTCCTCCCTAAGTCGTCTCTTCTCATCCTCTCGATTCGGTCTCTCTCTCTCTCACTCTCCTGCTCTCATCTCCACTCCCTCTCTCCTCTCATTCCCTCTCATTCTCTCTCTTTCTTTTCTCTCTCATCTCTCCTCTCTCCTCTCTCTCTCTCTCTCTCTCTCTCTCTCTCTCTCTCTCTCTCTCTCTCTCTCTCTCTCTCTCTCTCTCACTCCTCTCTCTCTCCTCCCCCTCTCTTCTCATTCCCTCTCATTCTCTCTTCTTTCTTTTTTCTCTCATCTCTCTCTCTCCTCTCTCTCTCTCTCTCTTCTCCACTCTCTCTCTCACTCTCTCTCTCCTCTCTCTCTCTCTCTCTCTCTCTCTCTCTCTCCCTCTCTCCCTCCCTCCCCTTCCCCCCCTCTCGCTCTCTCTCTCTCTCTCTCTCCTCTCTCTCTCTCCTCTCTCTCTCTCTTCTCTCTCTCTCTCTCTCTCTCTCTCTCTCTCTTCTCTCTCTCTCTTTCTCTCTCTTTCCTCTCTCTCTCTCTCTCTCCTTCTCTCTCTCCTCTCTCCTCTCTCTCTCTCTCTCTCTCTCTCTCTCTCTCTCTCTCTCTCTCTCTCTCTCTCTCTGTGTGTTTCTCTCGTCTTTATCTACCTAGTTATCAGTGTATCTATTTATCTTACTATCTCCTCCCCCATGCACATCCATGCCAATTTGTTTACAGCATCGTTCGCGTACCCTAATCCGCGTGAATCCATAACCTGTGTTTACTTCTAGCGCCGTTCGCGTAAGGCGGATCCGGATTAAGTCGTCGTTGTGGCTTGAGTCAAAGGCAACTTTTATTACACGTCATATATCATCGGTTCCTCCCTTTTCTCAGAAGACAAAATCAATTTTCTGGCTTACTTGGATTTTTTTTTTATTAAAAGGTGACAGATAAGGCCGATGGTAAGGTATTTCCCCAGCCTGGCTAAAAGTTTATAGCTCCACAAAAGCGTTCAGTCCCTCGTAAGTTTCCCACGCCTGTTGGCCTACGCCTCTTACTGTTGTCTGCGATCCGTTCTGTTCTCTGTACGAGTTTAGTTGTTTATTTACAATCTCTCATTTGTCAGTTTACTGAAAATGGACGGTAGTCAGCGTCATTGTTCTAAAATGCCATACATCGTCAGCAATAACAGAGAACAGCAGCAGAACTACACGGGGTTTTCAACAGCCAGGGAAGAGGGATATTTGTCTAGCCCCGCCCTCTCTGAAACCGGAAGTGTAACGCCCATGGGAGACACGATGGCCTGTGACGCTGTGACGCCCCGCCCAGGGGGTCGGCGCCACAGCCCCGAGGACTGACACCAGCTCTGCCGGCGCACATTATCGCGAAAGTGCAGCTGACTCGGCGAACAGCAGGGCAGCAGGTCTTTGCTATTAAAGGTGAACGATACTTGCGATTAAACCTCATCTGCGCCACGAATTAAGCCAGGACGCACATGAACGTCGGCCTGGCTAAGGACTCTGCCAGCCAAGGGCTTAGGTACAGAAATCAATCAGGAATCCATTACTGCCATGCAGTGGCTGCTCAGCGGGAGGCTCACCCTCTCAGAGGTCATGTGGATCTTCCCTCAGTGTTGGTCAGGCAAGGGACGGCAGGAAGGGAGGCAGCGTCGCATGTCGCCGAGGCGAAACGAGAGGCCGAAGAGCAACAGGAAATCGGCCGCGGCGTCACGACAAGCCTCTCCATTGCCACCAGAAAGCGAGACCAGCCCGAGGCACTTCGAGGGCATATGTTCCTTAATCAAAGGCTTTCAATGCCCGACTGACTCATCGAGCGGCAAACACATCAAGAGCTGGCCTTCGCACTCGCGGATTCCGAGCACGCGTCCATGAGCCTCCCTCGACATGCCAATCGCCGGCCCCGAGGCTCCTGTCACCAGCAGCTGCCGCTCCCGTGCGCGATGGAGATGGCAAGGGGCCCGGACGCGTCGAGTCGGAACCCAGAACATATATCACAGGCTTTTCACATCACGAGGTTCCAGGAGGAAAGGAACCCTCAGGCCTGGTCAGGTTTTTCCTGCAAGACGACTCGAAACCCTGCCGAGGAACCGACGACGACCGAAGACGCAAAGGCAGAGTCGCAAGAAGGAAGCGGCGACGGTTCTCGCCCGTCCCGCTCTGCCGCGTCCGCGAGGAGCTTCAGGTGGATCATGATAATGATTATAATGATGATACGGATAATAATAACAATATCAATGATATTAGTGATTATGGTGATAATTGTTATGATAATAATAACAATATTCGTGATCGTGATAATAACAATAACAATAAATGTAATAACAATAATAATGCTAATGCTGGCAATGGTTACAAGAATAAGGACGATAATAATAATGATAGTAATAATGATCAATAATATAAATAATAATATAATAATAATTATACATATAATATTATATTATATATTATAACAATGACGATAATAATAATAAGAATAATACAATAAAAATAATGAATTAGCTGATAAACAATAAATTAACAATGATAATAATGATAATAATTATAATATAATAATGAATGAGAGTAATGGATAATAATCATAATATAAGTGATATCTAATAATAATGATAATAGTAAAAATAGTAGAAATAGTATATACTAAATAATAGTAATAAACAATAGCAATAATAATGATAACGATGACAATAGCAATGATAATGAAAATAGTGAGTAATAATGATAATAAGAATACTACTACTACTACTACTACTAATAATAATAACAACAGCAACAAACAACAGCAACAAAAAAAACAACAAACAACAACAATAATAATAATAATATATAGTAGCAGTAGTAATAGTGGAAGAGTACATAAAAAGGAAAGAGAAAAGGCGGAGAAATCCCAGGACTTGTGAAGGCAAATAGCGACCTGTGGCAACCGCGGAAGGTGCAGGTTGTCCCCGTGGCTGCGGCGCCCTTGCAAGCGTGGCCAAAGAATCTGACGGCGAAAGAATCTGACGGCGAAAGAATCTGCTTCTGGCCGAAAGCGAGGCCATGACGGGCGAAATCTGACGGACGAAAGAATCTGACGGCGAAAGAAGTAATTGACGGCCTGACGGCGAAAGAATCTGCCACATCTTCTGGAGGCAGCGACGGCCGTGTGTCGGAGCATACGACAGGAGTGTTACGTTAGTAGTTAGTGGTGTTAGTTAGGAGACCTGTTAGTGTTAGTGTTAGGACCTGCAAGGATCCCGAAGAAGGTGTTCAGAGATGCCAAGAGAGATTTCCCGTTCGCCCTCCGTCGCTGGTTCCGGCCCGCCCACCAGGAGGAGGGACGGCAATCAACAGCCACAGGATAAGCTGAAATGATTACAATAATAACAGTTATGATAATGATAGTGGTCATAATGATAATGTTTGATAAGCATTTTTTTTTTCTTAAAAAACATCTCATAATGACAACTGGTCAAATTAATTACAAATATATTTGTATGCAGCACACTTGGAGGGAAAGAGACACATATTAATGTATTCAGTAAAGTAATATATGAAATGGTCGAAGCAAAATAAGCGTTGAGAAAATAGACACGAAAAACAGACAGGTGGACAGCCTGAAAGAATGACAAACAGACAGACTCAGAGATAATTCCCTATAAGACCCCCCCCCCCCCCCATCCCGAGTGGCTTCCAGAGACAGCCATAAATTCCGGTCATTCCTCGCGGACAGGAAGCCTCGCCTCAAAATTTTAGGCGAAGACCAGCGCCGGAAGTCTTTGGGGCCCAGGCATGGAGGCCATGGCGGGAGGCCAATGCCATGCGGGAGGCCAAGCACAGAGGCCCAAAGCGGGAGGCCATCAAGCACAGAGGCCATGGCGGAGGCCAAGCACAGAGGCCATGGCGGGAGGCAAGCACAGAGGCCATGGGGAGGCCAAGCACAGAGGCCATGGCGGGAGGCAAGCAAGAGGCCATGGCACAGAGCCAAGCACAGAGGGGAGGCCAGCGGGAGGCCAAGCACGAGGCCACGGCGGGAGGCAAGCACAGAGGCCATGGGGGAGGGCACGAGGAGGCCAAGCACAGAGGCCATGGCGGGAGGCCAAGCACAGAGGCCATGGCGGGAGGCCAAGCACAGAGGCCATCGCGGGAGGCAACGCATGGCGGAAGGGCAAGCACAGAGGGCAACAGAGCCAAGCGGGAGGGCAGGACAGAGGCATGGCGGGAGGAGCACACAGGCAGGGGGGTGGCGCCAAGCACAGAGGCCCATGCGGGAGGCCAAGCAAGAGGCAGCCAAGGTACAAAGCACAGGAGGCATGGCGGGATGGCCAAGCACAGAGGCCATGGCGGAGGCCAGGCAGCAGAGGCATGGCGGGAGGCAAGCCACAGAGGCCATGGGGAGGCCAAGCACAGAGGCCATGGCGGGAGGCCAAGCAAGAGGCCATGGCGGAAGGCCAAGCACAGAGGCCATGGCGGGAGGCCAACACAAGAGGGCCATGGCGGGAGGCCAAGCACAGAGGCCATGGCGGGAGGCCAGCACAGAGGCCAGAGGCCAAGCAACAGAGGCCATGGGCGGAGGCAAGCACAGAGGCATGGCGGGAGGCCAGGCCAGAGGCCATGGGGAAGGCCAAGCACAGAGGCATAGGGAGCCAAGCAGGCCAGCACAGAGGCCATGGCGGGAGGCCAGGCACAGAGGCCATGGCGGGAGGCCAGGCACAGAGGCCATGGCGGGAGGCCAAGCACAGAGGCCATGGCGGGAGGCCAGCACAGAGGCCATGGCGGGGGCCAAGCAAGAGGCCATGGCGGAGGCCAAGCACAGAGGCCATGGCGGGAGGCAAGCACAGAGGCCATGGCGGGAGGCAAGCACAGAGGCCATGGGGAGGTCCAAGCACAGAGGCCAGGCCAAGCACAGAGGCCATGGCGGGAGGCAAGCACAGAGGCATGGCGGGAGGCAAGCACAGAGGCCATGGGGAGGCCAAGCACAGAGGCCATGGCGGGAGGCCAAGCACAGAGGCCATGGCGGGAGGCCAAGCACAGAGGCCATGCGGGAGGCCAAGCACAGAGGCCATGGCGGAGGCCAAGCACAGAGGCCATGCGGGAGGCCAAGGCAGAGGCATGCCAAGGAGGCAAGCACAGAGGCCATGGGGAGGCCAAGCACAGAGGCCATGGCACAAGGAGCACAGAGGCATCGGGAGCCAAGCACAGAGGCCATGGCGGGAGGCCAAGGCACAGAGGCCATGGCAAGCACAGAGGCCATGGGGGAGGCCAAGCACAGAGGCCATGGCGCAAGGAGGCCATGGCGCAAGCACAGAGGCCATGGCGGAGGCCAGCACAGGAGGCCATGCAGGAGGCCAAGCACAGAGGCCATGGCGGGAGGCCAAGCACAGAGGCCATGGCGGGCGGGCACAAGAGGCGCAAGCACAGAGGCCATGGCGGGAGGCCAAGCACAGAGGCCATGGCGGGAGGCCAAGCACAGAGCCATGGCGGGAGGCCGAAGGGCCATGGGCGGGACAAGCCAGAGGCCAAGCACAGAGGCCAAGCACAGAGGCCATGGCGGGAGGCCAAGCACAGAGGCCATGGCGGGAGGCCAAGCACAGAGGCCATGGCGGGAGGCCAAGCACAGAGGCCATGGCGGGAGGCCAAGCGACAGAGGCCATTGGCATGGCGGGAGCAAGCACAGGCCATGGCGGATGGCACAGCAAGAGGCCATGGCGGGAGGCCAAGCATCAGAGGCCATGGCGGGAGGCCAAGCACAGAGGCATGGCGGAGCCAAGCACAGAGGCCCATGGCGGAGGCCAAGCACAAGGAGGCATGGCGGAAGGCCAAGCACAAGGCGATGGCGGAAGGCAAGCACATGAGGCCATGGCGTGGAGCAAGCCAGAGGCCATGGCGGAGGCCATGCAAAGAGGCCATGGGCGGAGGCCAAGCACAGAGCAATGGCGGAAGGCCAAAGCACAGAGGACCATGGGGAGGCCAGCACAGAGGCATTGTGCGGTGGAGGTCCAAGCTACAAGAGGCCATGGGGAAAGGCCAAGCAAAGAGGCCATGGCGGGAGCCAAGCACAGAGGCCATGCGGAGGCCAAGCCACAGAGGCCATTGGCGGAAGGACAAGCAACCGAGGCATGGCGGGAGGCACAAGCAAGAGGCCAATGGCGGGAGGCAAGACAGAGGCATGGCGGGAGGCCAACAGCAGAGGCCATGGAGAGAGGCCAGCATCAGAGGCATGGCGGAGGACCCAGAAAGAAAAAGGGCCATGGCGGAGGCCAAGCACAGAGGGCCTATGGCGGGAGGCCAAGCACAGAGGTCCATGGCGGGAGGCCAGGCCAGAGGCCATGGCGGGAGGTCAAGCAGCCAAGAGGCCATGGCGGGAGGCCAAGCACAGAGGCCATGGCGGAACGGCCAGCACAGAGGCCATGGGGGAAGGCCAAGCAACAGAGGCCATGGCGGAGGCCAGGCACAGAGGCCATGGCGGGAGGCCAAGCACAGAGGCATGGGGGAAGGGCACAGAGCCAGAGGGAGGCCAGGACCAGAGGCAACCAGAGGCCATGGCGGGGGCAGGCACAGACATGCGGCGGGAGGCCAAGCACAGAGGCCATGGCGGCACAGAGGCAAGCACAGAGGCCATGGCGGGAGGCCAAGCAGAGGCCATGGCATGGAGGCCAAGCACAGAGGCCATGGCGGGAGGCCAAGCACAGAGGCCATGGCGGGAGGCAAGCAAGAGCCATGGCGGGAGGCCAAGGCACAGAGGCCATGGAGGGAGGCCAAGCACAGAGGCATGGCGGGAGGCCAAGCACAGAGGCCATGGCGGGAGGCCAACACAGAGGCCATGGCGGGAGGCCAAGCACAGAGGCATGGCGGGAGCCCACGCACAGAGGCCATGGGGGAGGAGGCAGCAGCACAGAGGCCATGGCGGGAGCACAGAGCACAGAGGCATGGCGGGAGGCCAACACAGAGCCCATGGCGGGAGCAAGCACAGAGGCCATGGCGGGAGGCCAAGACAGAGGCCTGGCGGGAGGCCAAGCACAGAGGCCATGGCGGGAGGCAAGCACAGAGGCCATGGCGGGAGCAAGAGAGCCAAGGCCAGGCGAGGCATGGCGGAGGCCAGCACAGAGCCAATGGCGGGAGGCCCCAGAGCCATGGGGAGCCAGGCGGCCATGGCGGGAGCCAAGCACAGAGGCCATGGAGCGGGAGGCCAAGCACAGAGCCATGGCGGGAGGCAGGCACAGAGGCCCATGGCGGAGGCCAAGCACAGAGGCCATGGAGGGAGGCAAGGGCACAGAGGCCAGCACAGAGGCCATGGCGGAGGCCAAGCACAGAGGCCATGGCGGGAGGCAAGGCCACAGAGGGCCCATGGCGGGAGGCCAAGCACAGAGGCCATGGCGGCCAAGCACAGAGCCAGGGAGGCCAAAGCAGAGGCCATGGCAAAGAGCCATAGAGGCGGGAGGCAAGCACAGAGGCCATGGGGGAGGCTAAGCACAGAGGCCATGGGAGGCCAGCACAGAGGCAAGCAAGAGGCCATGGCGGGAGGCCAAGCACAGAGGCATGGCGGCACAAGGCCAACCACAGAGGCCATGGCGGGAGGCACAAGCACAGAGGCAAATGGCGGAGCAAGCACAGAGGCCATGGGGCCAGAGGCCATAGCCAGAGCCATGGCGGGAGGCCAACATACAGAGGTCCATGGCGGGAGGGCCAAGCACAGAGGCCAGCCATGGCGGGAGGCCAAGCACAGAGGCCATGGGCGGGAGGCAAGACAGAGGCCATGGCAGAGGAGGCGCCAAGCACAGAGGCCATGGCGGGGGCCAAGCACAGAGGCATGGCGGAGGCAGGCACAGCCCGGGAGGAGCCAGAGGCCATGGCGGGAGCCAAGCACAGAGGCCATGGCAGGAGGCCAAGCCAGAGGCCATGGCGGGAGGCCAAGAGCCAGAGGCCATGGCGGGAGCCAGCACAGAGGCCATGCACGTGTGCTCTCATGTCTCGGGGCCCTAATTAAGACGAAGCCCATCTGGCAGCGGCCATCGCCGAAATGGAACCGAAAAGGCGCAGCCATTTCCGAGGCCCAATTAAAACAAAGAAGCAGATGAAAGCGTCACATTTCGTCAAGAGGCAGCCATTTCGGGCGCAACGATCTTGCTCTGACGAGATCCAGTTTCGAGGAATGCCGGCGGGCGGTGGGCGGGGCGGGCGGGCGAAGGAGGGTATCTATCGGGCTGATAATCTCTCTCTCTCTCTCTTCTCTCTCTCTCTCTCTCTCTCTCTCTCTCTCTCTCTCTCTCTCTCTCTCTCTCTCTCCTCTCTCTCTCTCTCTCTCTCTTCTCTCTCTCTCTCTCTCTCTCTCTCTCTCTCTTCTCTTCTCCTTCTCTCCTCTTCTCTTCTCTCCTCTCTCTCTCTCTCTCTCTCTCTTCTATCTCTCTCTCTCTCTCTCTCTCTCTCTCTCTCCTCTCTCTCTCTCTCTCTCTCTCTCTCTCTCTCTCTCTTCTCTCTCTTTCTCTCTCTTCTCTTCTCTCTCCTCTCTCTCTCTCTCTCTCTCTCTCTCTTCTCTCTTCTCTCTATATATTATATATATATATATAATTATAATATATATATATATATATATTATATATATATTATATATATATATATATACACAACACATTATATGCTGTACATGCATGCATGCCCATCCCCATATCGTCTTCATATCAGATTTTTTATTTGTTTACACCATCGTTCGCACATCCCTAATCCGTGCGAATCCATAACCTGCGTTTGCCTCTGGCGCCGTTCGCATAAGGCGGATCCGGATTAAGCCGTTGTTGTGGGCTGAGTCAAAGGCAGTTTTATTACACGTCATATACCACTGGAAATTTCTGCTGAACAGGTACACGGGAAGGTAATCCTGATCTGCCTTGACCTGGGGATTTTTTCTCGGGAATCCGAATTGTGTCTCGGTTTATGGGTCGAAGATGAGATTCCCTCCAATCGCTTTCGCAGGACAGGCCCAGACGGAATGGACGAAGGGAGGAAGACTGAAGGCAAAATCGATGAAAAATGAGCGAATGAGACAGGCTGACAAAGAGATTGATTGACAGAGATACACGCCTACAGAAACAACTCACAATCACACACACACACATACACCACACGCACCTACATCAACACACACCACAAGAGCTTTTCAGATGCCGGGTCCGGCCCTCGCGCGCCGCCTCCCTCGCAACGAACCGCTCCGAACCCCCCTTCTGTCAAGCGGCGCTCGTCGCCATTCCGCCGGTGCGGCCGCTGCGGGGACTGGCGATGCGGGGGGGCGGTTGGGCGGTCTCGTGTGCGTGTGAGCTTGAGTGTGTGTGTTTGTGCGTTTTTGAGTGTGTGTGTGTCTATGTGTGAGTGTGTTATATGACTGTGTATCATTACGTATATCTATACGTTTTTGTGGTTGTGTGTTAAACAACATATACACACCACACACTCATAACAAACCAAACACACACCCAATAACACAATAATAAATAATATATATATAATATATTATATATATAATTAACAAATAAACATAGATATATAATATATATGTATATTATATATATATATTATATTATATATATATATAATATATTATATAGTATATAATATATATGTATGTATGTATATATCTAAATATATATA